TCGCCGAGTGAGCTTTTGGGTGTTGGCTCGAGCGAAGGCTGTCCTTGGCTCGGAGGCGTAGCTTCTCTGGTTGGTCGCTCGAGCGACAAGTCTCGCTCGAGCGAAGCCTAATCCCAGTTTATATACAGAAAGACAGGGTTTGATCAGTCCTTTTTCATTTCTTTTGATTCAAACCTAGGTCGACTTCTCTCTCTCCCTACTCACCTTCTTTCTTTAGATTTGATCTTATTTGAGGGTGTTTCTCCCTAGTTGCTTTTTTTAAAAATTTATTGAGAGGGAGTCGAGGGCTTTCATTTAATCTGAACATTGGCGATTTGGAGCACTTAGTATTTTGGGGCACCATTCTCTGTCTTCACCATTTGGGTTGTTTTTCTCGAGGTAGGATTTCCCTACTCCATGTCTATAGGTTTTGTTCTAAGTTTTGGTATTTTGATTATGTTGGGATATTTTTGGTAAATTTTGGGGAAAACCCTAGTTGTATTAATAAATTAATTGTATAATTAATTCATGGAATTGGGGAATTCATAACAATGGCCGTAGTTGGTTAATTTAAATCACTGTCTTATTGAATGTGGTATATATTATTTCCAGTCTAGAATAACTGTTTTGGGCTATCGGTGTGAGGATGTCGTGCTTTTGTAAGACACTGCATGTGGATTAGGGATAACTGAAACTAATCATTGATTAAGTCATCCAATTTGACTGGCTGAAGTAATTACAACATTATGGTGTATTGTTGTGTGTTGTATATGTTATGTGTTGCATTACATTGTTTGGTGTGGGAGGAGATAGGGATGTCTCCACGGTTTAGGAAAGATAGGGGATGGACCTAAACCGGATTTGTTTGGGAGGGAGATAGGGGATGGACTCCATAGCATCACTTTTATGTGGCTTATATATTGAAAGTGTTTTTATTGATACAGCCTAAAATGTGATCCAAACTGGAAGTAGTGAAGTGTTTTGATTTGAGCCTTGAGCTATCTGTTTTTTGGACATTGGAAGAATTGTATTTTATATATACTAGGTTCACTGTTGTTAAGTGTGTGGCCAGGTTCTTGAGCCATATTGTAATGTTGGAAAGTAAAACGTGTTTAGACATTAGGTCATGGACTGTATCAAAAGAGGTAATTGAATATCCTGGTACCATCTATTGAATGCTTTGCTTTATTCATTGCTATATTGTGGTTTAGTATATTTCTATGGGCTGTAGCTCACCTTGTTATGGAACACATTTTCAGTGTCCAGGTGATCAAGCTACTCCCAGGACTAGCTTGGAAGGATTGGAGTTTAGACTTCTTTAGTTGTTTGTTTTTAGTTGATAATAATCAAAAGCAGGGCTTATTGTATTTGAGTTAGAACTTCATATTTTGTTGTCCAAGTGTTGGCTTTGGGAAGATGTAAGCCCATAGGCATTTTTTTTGATGCTTACACTGTAATGTATTTATTTAGTATACCTCTAATGGATGAATTATAAAATTGTTTTCGTTAAATAATGGCAGTTTGATGATATACATATAATGGGTTTATTTTGAGGGCGTTTACAGATCATTAGTTGGATTGGTTGTTGTTCCACACATAAAGCACTTTGTATATGTCGATGGGTAACATTGACGACAGATGTTTTCCTACCCCTACACTACAATAAATTAAAGAATTTCATAACTACACTTATCCCGAAGAAAATTATAAAAGCTTTCCAGATCAAAGTAGAAGTTAACCATGAAGTAGGATAGTTGTGCCTGCAAAAAATCTGGAATTGCTGCAAAAAGAATTCCCCATTTATCATCAATCCTTCATGCATATAAAAAAATAATGATAGCTGCTTTGTCGATGAGAAAAGGAATAATTTAGATATGTTCGTGGATACTATTTCTAAGATTTATTGCTTGGTTAAAATGACAAGATTATTTGGGGATTAGTCGGGCTTGATCCGGACAATCGGTGCCAATCGAAAAAAAAAAAAAAAAGACAAGATTATTACAAAACTAGAATTATTCCAAAGAAGCTTGTAAGAACATTTAAGTTATTAATGTTTCCTTTTTCTTTTCATTTTTTGAAAAGGAAGGGGGGAAGGGGGGAAAGGGAAGGGGGGAGCATTCTATACATTCTCCAAAAAAGAAAAGAAGAAAATGACACGTACACATCCACCAAAAGAAAGATTCTCTTCTCGCCATGGCAAATGCGAAAGGACATTATGGCCAATAATTTAGGACGATGTGAGCATGAATGGAGTGCACGCCCGCTCCCATGTTTTCTGAGTAAGAAAATGGACATTCCTACCTGGTTATCCAGAATTTGAAAAATCAAGTTAACGATGATTAAGGATATTAAAAAATCTAATAATAAATAAAAAAAGTGAATCTTACCCATGGTATTGAAACCAAATAGATGCAAGAACGAGCATGGCGATGTATCAAGAGGAGCACATGCGCACATCATGCATGTTGTAAAGAGTATCATTGTGGTAGCACAGTCAACTAAATAAATATATAACTTGGATTTCACGGAAGAAATAAAGAACTAAAGGAAGGATACATGTAGCATGTTCTTCCTCTATATTGGTTTTCGAGGGTTTCCATAGGAAGAGTTGCTGGTCATAATTTTTGGTCATAGTAGATAACTGTTAAATAGTTTTTATTGGTGTGACAATAAATTATAATCAAATTATTCAAATGTGAAAATAATACTAACAGTACATAGTAAATAAAATAGATTGAGTTAGCGAATATATGGGAACTGAAATAATGTGTACCTTATGAGAGACTGCTTTTTCCACAAAATCTTTTGTAGTGGGATAAAGTGAATATAATCCATATCAGTCCAATAAAAAAGGCCATTTAAAAACCGATTGAAGCAAGGAGAAAATTATTATCCAATGCAAGCTGGTTTTCCATTAAAAGTTACTATGGCAAATGGATAAGAGAATATCAAAAAGTCATTAGTGATTTATGTCAGGCAAGCATGCAACTTGAACAATTGAGAGAGAGGAGGAACTAAACAGGTAAAGATCTAATGTCTGCATCATTCGCCAGGATGCAGCTTTCACAGTCTGACAGATTTTCTCAAACTTCTCTGCCAACCTTTTACAATTGCCCCCAATTTAGGCTTGCGTGCTTGGGTAAGATTCAGGCCATACAGGAAAAAGAGGGATCAATTATCCTTTTTTTCTTTTTTTTTTTCCTGTACATTTGAGAAAAGGGGGGGAATCAACCATTACCTCCGGCATAATGATGTAAACCAGTTCTCACCATGCCTAACTCCAGTGGTTAAGATAATTATGCTGTCCACCCCAAAGGTTGGCTTCAATACACTTGCTACCTATGGTATTAATAATTCACTAACTTCCTCTATTGGGATCATGTAATAGATTTCCTCTGTTCTACTGAGGCATTTGGTGCTAAAAATGAAATATGTGGACATCATATTTTGGAAATTCTCGAAATGCCTACTCTACCCTTTGATATAAGTTATAAACTAGCCCAAATCTGGTGACATGTGTCACGTCTTAGCCAGATCATCTATCACACACTGTCTCTCCACACATACATTTGGACACGGCAACCCCTAACAATTGTCAAAGTGGATGGGCATGAGATTCATTTGGCTCATAATTATTGGCTGATCTATCAAAATCAAAGAGAAGATAAAAGATGAGAGGGAAAGGAGGCTGTAGGAACATATGGGGTCTTCGACCTGTTGGGGAAGTAAATCATCAAAGATGATTTTGTTCAGTTTCATATTTGGGAGAGGTGGGGATGATTATGTTAGAGGGTTGTGATGAATATGTTGAGAAAAAAAGGTTTTGGGTGCTAAATTAGAGAAAATAATAAGGGCTTTTATTCCATAAAGTGTTAAAGAATAAAATTGACATCAATCTTGTTAGTAGTGTTCCAACTAAAGTCTGACAAGGGTGGGTCAATGTTGTTTTTATATGATAGGGTCAATGAGAGTATTATGGCCAAACCTTAGGGAGTGTTCAGTGTAATTTAGCCATTAAAAATTCTTTTACCTTCTCCTTTTATTAAGTTCGGAAAAGAACATTGGTCAAATTGTTCGCCACCTTACCCATACCTATATCAGTTTAATTAGGAGAGCATGAGTGGAGACAAAAGATTTTTCAAAGGATTTGAAATATGAATAATCAGACCCTGACAGCTTTAAAGCTGTGTAGCATGGACTCTGATAGATATATTTGATCTAACTGTCTAGCCTCTTCCAAAACCCCAGATCTTATGATGGAACTTGGCTCAAAATACATAAAAGGGCTGGGTAGCGCTACAGGGAAACACCCTGAACATTCAAATGCCTTATATTTCATATACTACTGAAATGAAAATTGTTATCCCCTTCAAGGATACAACTGCATAGTGAAATTTAGAAAGATTTCGTTGAAAGAAAAAGTTCATGGAAGTCTTTCCATGTGAGGCAAGAAAAATTTTTCACTATCAAATTTGAGCTTGTCATTCTTCTTCCATCATAACATAAGTAGGATTTTGTTTGTTCACACATAACACTTTGTTATTGTCATGGGTAACATGACGACAGAAGTTTTCTACCTCCTACTACTGCAATAAATAAAGAAATTTCATAACTACACTTATCCCAGATATAACAGCTTTCCAGATCAAAGAAGAAGTTAACATGAAGTAGATAGTTGTGACTGCAAAAAAATCTGGTTTTGCTGCAAAAAGAATTCCCCATTTATCATCAATCCTTCAAGCCAATATAAGAAAGAATAATGATAGCTACTTCTGTTCGATGAAGAAAGGAAATTTGAAATAGTTCTTATACTATTCTAAGATTTATTGTTGGTTAAATGACAAGATTATTTGGGGATTTGTCGGGCTTTGATCCGAACAACCCGGTGTCAATCAAAAAAAAATACAAGATTATTCACAAAACTAGGAAATTATTCCGAAGGAAGCTTGTAAGAACACTTAAGATATTAATCTTTCCTTTCTTTTTCTTTTTTTAAACAAAAGGAAGGGGGAAAAAAAGCATTCCTATACGTTCTCCCAAAAAAGAAAAGAAAGAAAATACACGTACACATTCCACCAAAAGGAAGATTCCTCTTCTCGCCATGGCACAAATGCGAAAGCATCATATGGCCAATAATTTAGGCAGTTTGACGCATGAATGGAGCTGCACGCTCCCCTGTTTCTGAGAAGAAAATGACTTTCACCTGTTATCCAGAATTGAAAAATCAATTAACGATGATAATAGATATAAAAAATTAAAATAAAATAAAAAAACATGAATCTACCCATGGTATTGAAACCAAATAGTGCAAGAACGAGCATGGCAATGTCATCAAAGAAGGAGCACATGCCTTACATATCATCATGTTGTAAAGTATCAATTTGGATGGGTAGCACAGTCAACTAAAATAAAATATATAACTTGGATTTCACGGAAAGAAATAAAAGAACTAAAGACATGATTACATGTAGCATTTCTTCCTCTTATTTGTTTCGAGGGTCCATAAGAAGATTGCTGGATCATAATTTTTGGTCAAGTAGTAACTGTTAAATAGTTTTATTGGTGTGACAATAAATTATAATCAAAATTATCAAAGTGAAAAATAATACTAACTAGTACATAGTAAATAAAATAGATTGATTAGCAATATATGGGAACTGAAAATAATTTGTACCTTATGAGGACTGCTTTTTCCCACAAAACTTTGTAGCTGGAATAAATATATAAATCCATATCAGTTCCAATAAAAAGGCCATTAAAAAACATGAAAGCAAGAGAAACATTATTATCTCCAATGCAAGCTGGTTTCAGTTAAAAGTACTATGCAAAATGATAAAGGAATATCAAAAGTCATTAGTGATTTATGTCAGGCAAGCATGCAACTTGACAATTGAGAAGTAGGAAGGACTAAACTAGGTAAAACTCTAATGTCTGCCATCATTCGCACAGAGATGCAGCTTTCACAGCTGAACAGATTTTCTCAAACTTCTCTGCCAACCTTTTACAATTGCCCCAATTAATGGCTTCGTGTGCTTGGTAAATTCAGCATACATGAAAAAGAAGAGGATCAATTACTCCTTTTTTCTTTTTCTTTTTTTCTCCTTGTACATTTGAGGAAAGGGGGGAATCAAACCATAACCTCCTAATGATGTAAACCAGTTCTCACCACTGCCTAACTCCAGTGGTTAAAGATAAATTATGCTGTCCACCCCAAAGGTTTGGCTTCAATACACTTGCTACCCTATGGTATTAATAATTACACTAACTTCCTCTATTTGGGAAATCATGTAATAGATTTCCTCATGTTACTAACTGAGCATTGGTGCTAAAAATGAAATATGATGACATCATATTTTGAAATTTCGAAATGCCTACTCTACCTTTGATATAAGTTATAACTAGCCCAAATGGTGACATGTGTCACTCTAAGCCAGATCATCTATCACCACCACTTCTCTCTCCACACATACATTAATTGGACACAGCAACCCCATAACAATTGTCAAAGGTGGAGGGCATGAGATTCATTATGGCTCATATTATGGTGGATCTATCAAAAATCAAAGAGAGAGATAAAAGATGGAGGGAAAGAGGCTGCTAGAGAAATATGGGTCTTGGACCTGTTGGTGGAAGTGAATCATCAAAGATGATTTTGTTCAGGTTTCATTTGGAGAAGAGGGTTGTGATGATTATGTTGAGAGGGTTGTGATGATTATGTTGAGAAAAAAAGGTTTTGGGTGCTAAATTAGAGGAAATAATAAGGGCTTTAATTCATAAAGTTTAAAGAATAAATTGACATCATCTGTTAGTAGTGTTTCCAACAAAGTCTGACAAGGGTGGTCAATGTAGTTTTTATATGATAGGGTCAATGAGAGTATTATGGCCAAACCTTAGGAGTGGTCAGTGTAATTTAGCCATAAAAAATTCTTTTACCTTCTCTTTTTAAGTGAAAAGAACATGGTCAAATTGTTACCCACCTTACCCATACCTATATCAGTTTAATAGAGAGCATGAGTGAGACAAAAAAGAAGAGTTTAGAAAAGGAAAAAAAAAATGCTGGAGCCCCCATCCAATAATGAACTTAGTCATGATTATGCAGATATTAAATTCAAGAGAATATTGCATGATATTGATCAAATGCTAATTATCAGAAAAGACTCCTAACTAAATAATGATTTCTTGTCATATTGCTTTTTCAGTGCATCAATCTATGAAATTCCACTCCAGCATTACAACGTAATGCAAGCCTAGTCAATCGTTCCCAACAAAAGTTCATTCCTTCTACATTATTCTCCACAAATTAACTTCAAAATTCAAGATAATTATAATCTGTTACGATCACAAACACTAGAACCATCCAACCTTACTGAACTGTAAACCCATAACCTTTCTTGGCCCTAAAACTACTAAAAATTCAAGTGTAGACAGCATCATCCAAGTTTCCTAAACTATCCTACATCACAATTTAGTCGTAACAAAATGTGCATATGGACCCAGGAAAAAGTGTATTTATTACCAATGAATCCTTTGAGTAGTATAGAATGCGAGGCAAACTTAGGATCGTGGTTGCAAACCAATTAGTAACAGCATCAACAGATATATGTATACATATATATATATATATATATATATAGAGAGAGAGAGAGAGATTGCATTGGGCATAAATAGAAATGTGCAAAGTTATAAAGCTTGTGTGTTGACTTTAAAACTCACAGTGCAGCATGAGGGAAGCTTTCAAAATTTAAACCTCAGGCAGAAACTCACCTATATAGACAATTTGCAGTGTTACATCCAGAGGGAAATGCAATGAGTGAAGGCGAGAGAGAGAGAGAGAGAGAGAGATTGCATTGGGCATAAATAGAAATGTGCAAAGTTATAAAGCTTGTGTGTTGACTTTAAAACTCACAATGCAGCATGAGGGCAACTTTCAAAATTTAAACCTCGGGCAGAAACTCACCTAATTAGACAATTTGCAGTGTTACATCCAGAGGGAAATGCAATGAGTGAAGGCAAGCCTGTACATATCAAATGAAGTTAAAATAGAGGAAGAAGTCAAGTGCTTATAACAATAATAGTTGTTCTCCCAACTCTTTAACAAGCATAATCAAACAATATATATAAATGGCAAACAAGAAAATATAAAATAATTTATTCAATTGAAAGCATGACTAAATTCCAGAAAGTGATAGAAAGTTCTTAATAGGGAGAAAATCAAGTGACAATCATTTCAGTCATAAAATCCAGATTTACTGTCTACTAGGGGTGAGCATTGACTGGTTTGGGTCAGGCTTCCACTTTATAGCAAGAATAAATGCATTATCCTAAGGCCCGCCCAACCTCGGCCCTAATCAAACCATCCCAAATTCGGCCCTAAAAATACTTCTACATCCCAAGCCCGCACAATTAACTTAGTATATTATTTGTGCAGTTCATTTATGTTAGGATGCAGTCCTATCTTTTTGCGGTTCCATTTGCAGTTTTTTAAAAATTTAGTCTGCAGTGCTTAATCATTCACATTGCATATAATTCATGTAAATTATATGAAAGAGAGCAAATATTTGATCCATAGCTTAGGAGATCAATATCTGTTTGGTGAGATTTTGCGCTGTAAAATCCCAAAGATTGCTCAATGAACTATTTTGGAGGTGTATAGAGGCAAAGAGTCCTATTTTTTTTTAGTTTCTTGGTAATTATTCTAAAATTGAAATTTAAAAAATCTGACAAGCTATTTACCATTTTGAAAGGAAGGCTGCCCTGTAAATGTCTTCTCAGCAAGGTAAGTAGCAAGCTGAACTTCTCCAAGTTCAACCATTCCAGTATTTGCCATGCCATCCAACAGAGAAGCTGAACAAAGAAATGAAAACAAAAACCACTTCTATCAACAAGGTAATCTAGAAACATAAAACTTCATAGATAAAATGAAATAGAACCAAGTTGATCAGTCCACCCAAGAAAAGGAAAAAGACAAAGGAGAAGAATAAAGAATGATACAAGAAAACAAATATTAGCCAAGGTAAGCAATTTGTTACTTAGATTCTTATAGCAGAACAACTCCTTTTTCAATGTTCACCGAGTACAAAAGACAAAATGCATATGCTTTTGCTTCTAGACTTGCATCAGCCAAAAAAAAATAGACAAGAACTGTGTTGGCATTCTTTTAAATCAATGGTCCAAAAAAAAAATTTTTTTTTTTGGCAAAATTCATTTACCTCCCTATGGTATGGTCCCCGTAGCACTTTACCCCTTATCTTTTAAAACTAGCCACAAGCCCCCCATGTGGTTGTGGATTAAATTGCAGTACTTACTCTGTTAACTTTAGCGATAAAAAGACAATTATACCCTTGTTTTCTTCCTCTACTTCTCATTATTTGTGTAAGAATAAATGTAAAGATAAATAAATAAATAAATCAAACTTGCCTCAATTAAGAAACTTGATTTTTTTTAACTTCTAACTTAATTTCTAAATTTGTAACCTAATTACTAATTTAATCACATCTTAAGTTGTAATATATTCATATATATATATTACCATTACTAGGCAAAACAGAGTTTGAAAAAAAAAATTTGAAAGTGTAAACAAAAGAAGAAACATAATAAACAAATGGCTAAACAATAAAAGAACTGTAGAAGCATGGGAGGGTTGGTGAATCTCAGACAAACGCTGAGATTTATCATTACGATTTCAAAAAAAGGCACCGAAATCAAAACTCGATTTCATATTATTTCTTCATCACAGAAAGAAGATTACATATTACCCAAGTCTCTGTGTATATATAGTGCGTATATATATGAACTATTTAATAAGTTAAGAATAAGTTTTGTCGTTCGGTTTACAGGAATCGCCGATTCTGCCAATTGCATTGCAGTGACAGGGGAGTTTGTATAGTAGTTTAGAAGAGGCAGACAGTGGCTGGGCGGCAGGGAGGGAGGTGGTATCTAGAAGGTGGGGAGGATGGCAGGGGAAAGTGGGAGGAAGTAGGGGTGGCTGGGAGGTGGGAGAGTAAAGAAGGGGTGGCTGACATGGTCGAGGAGGTAATGGTACGTTAAGATTTAGGTTTTTTTTTTTTTGGAAAAGATGGTGAAAGGGGCAATTTTTTCTTTTTACCTTAAAAAGTTGACTTTATTTAATTATTTTTCTTCCCAACTCTCTCAAAATGCATGTGTAGTATAATTTATATTAGTTTTAGTTTTAGACAGAAAATGTAACAGGAGCAATTTAGTCCAAAATCACATGAAGGTTAATTGGCTATTTTCAAAAGACAGGGCTATGCTATTGGACCAAACCACAGGGAGGTAAAATGGATTTTGCCCCTTTTTTTTAAAAAATATGTTGATCTCATTTTATGCTTTCTAATCACAATGCTAACTTTCAATCTATAACATGAAGTAACAGTTAAAGTCTAGAACCATAGGGTTTGGCAATTTCATGACTTATATTGTAGCAAGGGTGAAGAATAATCCAATATCCATAGTGGGGTTTGGAAAGGGAAAACTCATACAAGCCTCAAGCACTTGACAATTTCAAAGAGGCATCAAAGAGTCAAGGAAGGATGAACTCAAGTCATAAACAAGAAGGATGTCCAACTGACACAAGAATGACCAAAATGTCTTAAATAGAACCACCTAGGGTAAAGACTTGACTTTGGAAGACATTTATGCTGGTCATGGTCAAGATTGGTGACCATTTTGGTAAATGAAGTATGACCTCCTAGCCATCCAAAACCATAACTTAGGATCTAGGCTTTTTTTATTTTATTTTTTTTTTTTACTGGCCATAACTTAGGTTCTAGTTTAAAATTTTAAATCCTTGAGTACCGACCAATTTCAAATGAAACTAGATTTACAGAGTTTCAATTTTAGCACAATTTTCACCCAAAACAGAGTTAAAATGAGAGTTAATAATCTTTTGAAGTTAGCCCTGTGTTGCAGGTGGAAGAAATCAAAGAGACTTGAATGATCAACTATTTTGGCCGGCCAAACTGGGTGCAGTTTGAAAATAATAAACTAGCCATTATCTAGCAGTTGGAACACACGCATTATACATAAGTTTCTTTCATTTTAAACCCAGAACTTTATGATTTGAGACCCAATATTACCTATATACCTTAGAGAACATATCTTGAGAGATTTGGGAGAGCTTAGAAAGAGTATTCATCATACGCTAACTATCAACAACTGGCCCAAGCTTGAGAATCTTGAAAAGCAAACTTTGGACAACTTTTGGGCTTCAATTTAAGGTATAAATTCTTCCTATTAGTGTATTGTTGAGGTACGTTTACCACCCATTCATATTTATTTTGTAAATTGAAAAGGTTGGGGTAAGACCTGGAAAACTCTTAGTGTTGGTGCCGGTTTGACTCCTGATAGTTTGTGGTAGTAGGCTACCCATTGTGAGTTGTGCATTGTGAAAGCGGCTGTGGGGTAGCCTACAAACCCATTGTGAGTTAAGGACTGTGGCTGAGATTGCAGGTGATCCTAGAAACTCGTTGAATTCTAAATTGAGGAAGAGGCTAAGGGTGACCTTGTAAAACCTAGTGTGGTGGATTCTAGGTGAGCCCTTGAGTGAAAACCTAGAGACTTGAAGTAGTGGGTTTTAGGTGAGCCCTTTGTGTGAAACCTAGAAAGAATAGTAGTGTTGTTCTTCAAGACAAAATATTATGTAGCTTAGTAGCATGTAGGTTAGCCTAGGAGAAACCTTCATCAAATGCAAGTGTAATACTTGAATAGGAGACAATAGGTAGATTAGTGGGTTTTAGGTTAGACTAGGAGAAACATTCTTCAAATCCTAGAGATTGTCTTTGTGAGGAGAATTTAGGTGGGTACTGGCGTGCCCATTGTAAGTCACCAGTTGTTTGGATGATTCATGGATACTTCAACCGAGAAGGTAAATAAAACTTGAACCTTTGATAGATATTTTCTATCATATTGAATCACTTACTAAGTTTTAAACATACCGAATGGTTAGAAAAATTGAGATTGGTCGTTGAGGACTGGTGAAGAAAAAAACAAAAGAACTGTCCTATTCACCCCTTTCTAGGACATTTTCATAAACACATAATGAGACACAATGACGTGCCAATTCAGGTTGGTTTCCATGGCAATGGACTTCTGCATGAACCTTAAAAAAATTCAAAATTCCTAGTTTCAAGGTGGACCAATTATGATATGCATTGAGTTTTATTAAGAATTTTACTTGCCTTATTTCATGTTATGTTTGTTGTGCCAAACACCATAACATGAAATAATCTCCCATCCTCCAGTTATATCCTTCTAGAAAATCAAATCATAGTATTAGGATTGAAATAGAGCAACTTGTTTATTCTTTCCCAATTAAAGGAAAAACCAAATGATGCCAAGGAATTCTCTCATATCTTCTCTCTTATATGTTGTAGAATAGCTAGCAAAAATGTGTATGGATGTTGGATTGAACATTAATAATTGATATAATGTCATACAAGAACCACAGACAAATGGTGACAAGGGCATCCATATAAAAGGGCACTATTTTAGTAGCATTCAACTCCTTGGTTGGTATGTGAGACACTATTTAAAGTACCACCTCGGGTTTCCCCCCGTCCCCCTCTCAAACACAACTCAATTCAATTTATCCCACTCAACAAAGCCTTGTGCCACTTGTCTCGGGTGGGTATGAAAGTTCTACTTATCCATTCCACTCTTTCAAGGGCTATAACTTTGGTTAAACCACCAACCTACATTTTAAGGTTATGATATTATCAAAATCAACAAATATCATGTCAATATCCTCATTAGACAGACTACATCAAACATACTTTCTTTAATCATTCATATACAATGAATAAATATTCGCTATAAAATGAGTTAATAAAATATGATGATAGCCACAAATCGAGAAAGAAAATAAATAAGCTCCAACTGCAAAATTGAACAACTTGAAGATAGTTAAAAAAAAAAGGAAAGAAATATGTTAAAGAGCAACAAGTGGTTCAACTATATACCATCACATAGTAACTCAATTATCTCAATTATCCACAGACATACAATATATAGTGTCTCATTAGATATTTTGATTGATATGTGCCACAACAAAATTGAGACATTCATTTCCCCAGTATTTTTGCTATTATTGACATACTTCAATGATTATCAAAAGGCTACCAACATATGATATGTCAAAATCATTGGTTAATGGTTATATATATTCTGTTTGGGTGTCATATGCCATGTTCTCAAAGGCTGATTAGCGCTCATGTCAATTTTAAATGTACATTAAAGTATAAATTATCATCAATATAACGTACAAATTGTGTTTCATTTGGGAGACATTAAATTTAAATAACTGTACTCTTAGGAAAATTATGACAAAATCACCTCCATTTGGGTTTGTGGTGGGTTTATGGCTGGAATATGTTTTAGTGTTGGGGTTCTAAAAAGACAAAAGATAACTTCTAGGGTTTGTAGAATGAAAAAAAAAACACTATATTTGTTGAATTTTAAAAACAACAGCTTGCTGGATTTTCAAAAAAGATACTATTCGAGAGTAATTTAGTAGCTAAAATGAAGGGCCTAGGGAGAGGCCATTGAGGGCCAATAAGAAGAGAAAAGGGAAGGGTTAAGGTTGATTTAGGCTGGAATGGAAATAAAAAGTTAATTTTTAAAGCAGTACAAGATCAGTGTTTACAGATGCTTTTGAATATTAGTAATTTTCTGGATCAATACTACATTGCCGTGATTTTTTGGTTTGGAAATTTTGAAAGCTATCCTGGAGTGCTGTTGATTCAGTGGCTGATTGACAACATTTAGATGCTTTCAGAGTTAATTTTAGTCCAACTGTAACTTAAATTTTAAGGTTGGAAAGAATATAAGCAAAGGAGGAACTGGAATACCTACTCCTATTTCTTTGTCTTATGCAACATAAAGTGAACACATATGTAATGTTTCAAATAATTAAAATGATAGAATACAATATCATTTAATCCATATTCCGAAAATCCCAAGTCTTCCCACTTTACATCCAAATCTAAAAACCTTATGCTGGCCACATACTCGAATGCAAGAAGAGTAATAAGAATGAATGAGATTCAATGAATTATCAGATTTTGCATGCAGATAGACCTATTATGTTACAAAAGTAATAAACTAATTAGGTAAATAGGTTTACTTAGCCTTTGTGTCGGAGAAAAATGTCTTGACTATGAGAAAAAAATAAGTTTTTAGTTTGTTATTTCACAAAATTGTAATCAAATCATTTCACTTAAGTTTCATTTAAATATAACTCGTACATAACGACTTAGTTTACTTTGAAAGTAAAATCTTTTATTTGGTTTTGTACCCCATATCTTTTTCAATGAACTAAGTTTCCTATAATGAGCAGCACAAGCTATGGAAAAGAGATTCATTTTATACAAATATAGGTTCCAGATCTTTATCATGGACATATTAAGTATAACGAAGGAAAGAAGGCAAGCAGAGAACATAACAAAAGAAAAAATATAGTAATAAAAGAGGGCAAGCAGACAGATATAACACAAGTAAACAACATCATCAACAATAAATATATGCAACAATTAACATCAGAAATGCATACCAATTTTCTTCCAGTTATTAGAAAATTGTGCAGAGCGGTTACTCCCAAATGAAAATACCCGAACCAAGTTTTGATAAACAACAATAAACACCTATAAAATATCTCTTTCCAGTACGCTAATATTAGAATAACCACGACAACAACAGGAATGACAAAGAAAAGATCAAGAGTTCATAATATTTATGGCAGCCTTCTATGATTATTTTGTATAGCTGGTATTTCACACATTTTCAACATTTGACTACAAACTCAATTGTTGCTTATTCAGAAAAAAATTCCAACATATGAATGATGTATCTAAGTTTTTATATCAGTGCAAAGAGTCTTTCCATCCCCACCGACATTAACATTGAAACCCTAGCTTAAAGAAAAGGGTTTAAATTTCAAGGATTTTCTTTCACTGTTATTTCTTTTTCAGAATTTGGTTTTCTGGGATAATTCAAGTTTAGATATTTGTTACATATTACATGAAATATCATTTGAACAAAAACAACACAGCCAGTCCTTTGTTACATAGATTCTAAGCTTCATGTACAAGTGTCGAGTGCAAGTATGTATCTAAGCATCAATTCATCTAATTCCCAAGTCCTAGGTCATCAAGCATGGTTACATATAGATTTCTAATACTATTTATAATTTCACAAGCTAAAATGGTATTTCAAGTGATATTAAGTGTTATACTTCACTCACTTTGAATAAAATATGTAACAGAATTGATGTAATAACGGAGTTTTATGTATTGAATAACTTTACATGCTTGCTAGGTGAATGTCCAACCAAAAATGTTAATTATTTAGAGAGTCCATGTAGCATTGGTCCACTAAGTACTTGCTCTTTTGATAATAGCCAAGATATATCAAGTCACTGTACCTATTGAGAATACCTGAATTAGCAATGCCTTTGAATTTTCAAACTTAGACAGAAACTTCCCAGAGGTGATGACCTCAAAATCATGATCTCCTAGATCTGCTTAAATAGGAAAAGAAAATAAAAGAAAGAGATGATTCAATCATATTAGAGTTGTATTTCCCACAACAAGAAACACATAGTACATGTTTCCAAATAAAAATTTTTGGTACAAAAGCAAATAGTCTAAAATGGAACAACTCAACCAACCAAAGGAAGCAGACTCCAGCAATGGAAGGTCAATTTCAGAAAAAATTGTCCCAGCATGTCGCTCCTTGATACTATCAAGAACATGCTACAGTCAACAAAATCAATGTCATGCGTCAAAAGATTATTAGTAAAGTCTATTGAGCAAAGAAAAATAGTAAAGGTTCAAACAAGAACCATAGGCTTCGTATTGATAGGTTGATAGTTAAAAACTCACAATGTGCTCGTCAATACCGAATATGTCGTAATTCCTCTTCCATAAAGGATTTTTCAGCAGCTCAAAAGCATATCGAATCTGGAAATCAGACCACATAACTTAAATATTTACAATACTGGAAGTACTCAAGTTAACTCAAGTAGGATTTGATATTGGTGCCAACAAAACCACATAGTTTCTAGACAAACCAAACCAAACTAATCCAACCAAGTGGTGTTGGCAACATGAATTCTTTTTCGTCATTCTACTTTGTCAAGGGCTATATGCTCAATTAAATTAAATTAAATAAATACATATCATTTTTTACTATAGCATCCCATATCAATTTAGGTTTGGGGCTCTCCCTAACATTTCTATTTACGCTGATCATATCACTATCTATTACTATTGCATCTACATCCTTCATTGTACATGATCAAACCATCTTAGCATATTCTCTTTCAACTCATCTTAAATCGGTGTTACTCCGGTCATTTCACAAAAATATTCAATTTCTAATTGTGTATTTCCTAGTCTTACGACACGTTCTTCTACGTATATCTCTATCTCAACTACACTCATTTTATAAACGAGATTAAATTCCTTACAACTTAGCCGTGATGGATGGACTTTACGGGTAGCCATTCAATAGTTGACATGTCAGACCATTTTGTTTTTTTGACTTATTTTCAATTTCTCCTCTGGTTTTTGTCTTCTCTCTCCCAGATTTCTCACTCAGTTCTTCTTTCAAAACATCTTATTGATAATATGATCTACATACACACATAAAAATCTGATTGATAATCTACAATGTTCAAACTATATTATTTATCTGATGCAACTAACGAAGGGGGCATACAATCTTAAGAATACTTTATGAGCAAGAATATATAGAAGCTACGATATCATGGAGATCAAAATTACAAAGGATTGCAAAAAAATAAAAATAAAAATAAAAATAAAAAAATAAATTTTTGATGATGCAAATCCTCATCCTTCCATGAGTTTGTAATTGCAGAATCTTGTAGATCTTATCATAAATTCCATCTTCCATAAAATAATACAATAATTTCAAAACAAAATCCAAAATCTGGAAGAGCTTATCATAAATTCTATCTTCCATGAAATAATTACAATAATTTCAAGACAAAACCCAATACCAAATCAGTTTATCTAGATCGGAACTCAGGAGCTCTGTTTCTGGCTTGAACATGCATGGCTTTTCATTCCTCCAGTCACCAGATCTGACTTCCATTCAGCCTTAATCGACAGCTTCTTCATCAGCACATCACTACCAATGATCAGGATTCTTCGTTTTGATTGCTTGGTTTGTACCATTGTACAGAGAGGGAATGAAGAAAAAGCATCGAGAGAAAGAACGAGAGAGAAGAGAAAACCAGAGTGGTGGACATCTGTTCAATGGCCAACATAGCATCTGTTGAGTGGCCGCCCGTAAACTAGGTGGTTTACGGCTAAGCCGTGTACAATTCATTCTCTTTATAAATATGTTGTTTTAGTTGCCCAACATTCTATCTTGTAAAGTATCACTAACCTCATAGTTCTATGAAATTTCCATTTCAATTTTGTTAATATTCATCGATCACATAATATGTCAGTAGCACTTCTATACTTGAGCCAACCTACTTTTATTTTATGGATCACAATATCTCTAACCTCTCCATCCTAATTAATAATCAAACCTAGGTTAAAAAAATGTCCACTCTTTGTAATTTGCTAATTTTTAATTTTCACTTCATTATTTCTTCTACTATCGATACTAAAGTTACATTCCAAATATTCATTTTTAGCTCCACTAATTTAAACCCTTTTCACTTGAGTGTTTCTTTCCAAGGTTCTATTCTAGTGTTAATTTCTCCCTTAATTTCATCCACTAGAACAAATATCATCTACAAACAACATACATCACGGGACATCATACTTAATGTATACAAGACATCATGCTATCTAAATATATATAGTTCATTCATCCATAACAAAGGCAAATAGATAAGAGCTCAAAGTTGACCCTTGATGTAATCCTCCAGTAATTGGAAATTCACTAATTTCCCCTGCATGTAATTATAGTCACAACCTCATCATATATGTCCATTATCGCATCAATAAATCCCTGGGTCACACTCTTTTTCCCTAACACCCACTATATCACATCATTAGGCACCCTATTGTGAGGTTTTCTTAACATATAAATATCATATGAACAGAGATGACTTCTACGTTGAGTAACTCTTTCGAACTTGGCATGGTGTCATATCTGTGTTTTGTGACACAAAGTAGACATGATAATTAAGACTTCATAAAGCATTAGATTTATAGATCAAGCACCATTACAATAAAAAATAAATAAATAAAACCTTATATTTCAAAAAACAAAATTTTCAAATATTAAAAATTTAAATGTAGAATTTGATCAAATTTTCAAAATGACTCATAAACAAGCCACGGATTGTATAAGTAAGAGAACTTTTATAATTTGACTGATTAAGCATTGGGATATCTTGTAACCATAAGGAAATTTATCAAAGGAGATCCTTTCCCCTTGAATAATTTCATTGTCAAAATAGATTCCAGTAGTAACAAAGGGGAAATTTATTCTTAATTTTAAGAAGCAATATCAAGTGCAATGCAAAGCATCTGTACAAATTATCACATGGCTCAACTCAATAAAATATTATGCTTCCATGGATCTTATTTCATGAACATTTCATCTGGGACAGGGTCCAAAGTTAAATCAAAATAAACTAACACGTTTTTTCCAGTCCTTTTAGGTCCTTTCTTTGTATTCCCTTCATTAGGCAACACCTTCAAGACATTGCTCTCTCTAGTTGGCACAATTATTGGCCTTTGTTTCACATGATCAGCCAATCTAATTCTGTCATCCTGTACCAATTGATCCTACCACTACCTTCCAGTTCTAAACTTCTGCTGTATTACTACTCATCCATCTTGGAAAATTTATTCCAATAATGTCATCGTGAAAAAATTTTGTTTCTCAACTTCCAATAAATAATGTGGTCAAATTGGAGAAGCATAACAACAGGAGAACATATATACAACACAACGATATTTCACACATGACATAAAAATATATAACAATATTACAGGATGCTCAAAAGCCACCCCCCACGCGAGACATCCTCATCTACCTCCAAGGCGGTCCAATCTAACACATGGGACGGATCTGGCTCATATTTTCGAAGCATACTCACATGAAACACGTCATGCACTCCGGACAACTGCGGCGGTAAAGCTAAACGATAAGCAACCTCGCCAATCCTCTCAAGGATCTCAAAGGGCCCAATAAACCGAGGGGATAACTTCCCACTCTTCCCGAACCTCATCAAACCTCGCCTAGGTGATATTTTCAAGAAGACGTAATCACCTACCTCAAACGCCAAAGGCCTCCTCTACGGTCGGCATAACTCTTTTGGCGACTCTGGGCTGTAACAAGCCTCCTATGGATAAGCTCAACTTTTTCCGTCGTCTCTCTAACCAACTCCAGACCCAACAAAGGTGCATCACCCACCTCGGCCCAACACACTGGAGACCTACACGGTCGGCCATACAAGGCCTCAAACGGTGCCATACCGATGCTAGATTGAAAACTGTTGTTGTAGGCAAACTCCACCAAGGGCAAGTGCCTCTCCCATGTCCCACTAAAGTCAAGGGCACAACCTTGAAGCATATCCTCAAGGATCTGAATAGTACGCTCGGACTGCCCGTCAGTCTGAGGGTGATAAGCCGTACTAAAGGTCAACCTAGTGCCCAAGGCACTCTGTAAACTCTGCCACAACCTAGCAGTAAAACGAGGATCTCTATCTGAGACGATCGTCACTAGGACCCCGTGCAATCTCACTATGTCCCGAATATACAAGTCGGCAAGATGATCTACCGAATCTCTCACGCGCATAGGAATAAAGTGCGCCGACTTAGTCAACCGGTCTAC